AAAAAAAAAGCTAGGAAAAGTGTGGCACTCTCAACAAAATTTACTCATTATTTATTCAGCAAATACTTATTAATCCTCTACTACGCTCCAAGCGCCATGGCACCTAATTCTCTCATTTTATTAATTAAAAATACTAAGGCCCAGTGCAGTTCAGGGGATAACCAGCTAATCTGGGGTAGCATGGTTGGGGCAGAACTCAAATTGGCAAGGCTTTTTGCGCTCACCCTGAGCTGTTCACAACCTGTGAAGTCAATTACCTTAAAACAGGCCTTAAGAAGGATCAGGTGCTTCTGTGGGATGGGCTGCCTCTTTATGGCATCATCAAGCTAAGTGTTTACGGCATCATCAAGCTAAGTGACTGAGCCCAGTGCCTTGGCGAGTATAGGCACCTGAGAAGTATTTGTTGAATGGCTGACTACAAAGAAGCAGAAGGAAAGCACTGAAGCTAGAAACTTGAAGACCCAGCAATCTTGCAGTTTGGCACTTCGGTTTGGAACAGGCAAATCGTGTTCCAAAGTGACTGCAACAGTCTGCAAAGTGCATGAGCTGCCAGCTCTCCATTTTTCTAAGATGTCAGTGTTCCTTACTTTGGGATTTCAAACGATTTGCAACCACTGAGGTCTAGAACTTTGTTCTGAAATACTTTTAGTGTTCTCTCCTACATGGCGAAAAAGAGTGAGCACAAATGTGGGCAGATTCCAAAGCCAAGCTCATGGGAGAAACCCCAGTCATGCAAGGGTGGACCATGCCCCTCTTCAGGAGGAATCCCTCCCAGGTGCCACAGGCAGACATGTTGCAAGGAAGCTCAAGACAGGGTAGGTGCACAAAATAATTGCTGACCTCTTTTTCTCTCTCTGATCTTCCAGGGTTCTTCCTAGCCTTGCTTCTCTGGTTTTTCTTATTTTTCTCTTCCTTCATGCCTTTTACCGTGGCCACGGGGTCGTGGACTATTTCTGAGGTGGGGGCCGTGTGATTGCTCATTGACCAATCAGAGATGGCCTTAGAGCTCCAATGAGAGTTGACAGGGTTGGCAGGAGGCAAGAGGGAACTTGCCCCTGGAGTTGCATATTCTAAAGAACTGGTTTCCACGGGTTCAAATTCATAATAATCCCACTCCAGGGCACTGGAGGTCATTCTTCAACTAATTCTCAGTCTTTACCATGACATAAAGCACAGTATCTGTAGAACACGAAGTTAGGAGTAAATTCTTCATAACATTAAACTTCTCTATCGCTACCCATCACCCAAGAAAGGTAACTTCTGAAATGATTTTTTTCCAATACTTAATCTCCCACCAGCTTCTTTAAAGAACACTCATAAAGAGTTTTCTTCCTTGAATTCCTACATGAGTTTCAAGGCTGATCAACAAGCACAGTAAATGTATAGAAGACACACATGAACATACTCTGGCAAATGCATTACTTCAGAACTAGTAAAGATCAATTCTACTTTCTCCATTCCCAGCTGTTTCTGCACTGTTTTGTCGTTCGTTTTGTTTTGTTTTAAGCTACCTGGGAGAAGCAATGTACGCATCGTCTAGACCAAGGGAAAGATGAAAAAAAAAAAAAAGATTTCAGTAAGTGAAAGAGCTCCTCTCTGAAAGTAGAGCTGGCTTTCCTTCTGCTGCTATGTCCCCCTTTGGCTGTCTTGGCTCCTGAGTTTTTACTTCCTATCTTGCCTGATATAAACAGCAGTAGTTCTAGAAAGTCAGCATGGCTTTTGCTTCAGGAGAACACAGTGATACTCGCAGCTTAGGACCTGAGACAGGAGTGTTGGGTCAGGATGGGTTAGCATGCCTGGTACTGCAGCCTTGCCACCGTGGCAAGCAAGGGCTTCAATTACACAGAGAAAACCAGATGCAGTCCGACATATTTGCACCAAGCACTGAATGCCCTGCGTTTCCTGTGGTCAGAATCTCTTCTCTCTCCCTGTATTTTTGCTCCTGTCATGTAAGGATAAGATATAATCAGGTATGTTATGATGGCTACAGTGCAAGGAAAGAAAATAGTGTTGTGACCCAAGGTAGAAATCAACAGCTTAAAGCTAGATCAGCATCTTTTGAAAATAATATCCTTGATGACTCAATAGGTTCCAAATATAACCAGAAATTTATGAATGACACTGACAGCCTTCTGCCCGTGTATATGACATATTTGGTTATTTCTTTGTGAATGCTGTCCTTCTCAACTTGGGTGTTTGCCAAGTTTTAGGACCTTACACAGACTCAAAGAAAACTTGAAGCACTATGGTAACCCACACCCTAGCCCACCTGAGTGTCTGAAATCTGATAATGTTCTGTAACCACAGAGATTACAGGTGAGTCTGGAAGGGGTTTATAAATACTAACTCTCCAAGATTCTGTGTTACTCACAAAAGTTCTTTCTCCTTTGAGTCCTACTATACAAATTAGAGTTAGAAACAGAATTAAAAGTTTCTGAAAATAGCTTCCAATCAGATTATCATTAGGATATTTTCCTAATAGCTCACTGGATGGCAATTTACATAATCTTTTCTACATCCGCTTCTTAGAGAGTTCACTCCCTTCGAAGACCCAACAGGGCCACCCTATGCACTAGGTGACCCCATGCCAGCCACTGCTGATTTACTCAGGAATGGATTCTTGACTCCAAAAGAACCAACTGGAATCTCTTTCTAGATAATTTGACTAAAGAAACTCAGAGACTGAGTTTCAATCATGGCAGAGCACCAGAGTGAACTCTTTCTGGAGGCCTCCTTTTTCTCAGATTCCATGAGATCAGTGTGCTGTTGTTTCTTTAAATAGGTCCTTTTTAACTGAATGTATACAGCGTAAGAGAAATCAAGGCGAGAAAATAAAAAAATTAAGTTTTTAAGCCTCACCTTTTCTCCAGTTATGTTTGGTCAATGACACATTTCCAGCAAGGCTTGCCCATACTCGTGTGTGCGTGCATGCGTGCGTGTGTGTGTGTGTGTGTGTGTGTGTGTGCGGTGTGCTCCTTTATACTGAGACAGGACACAGACAAGATGCCCTTCGAGGCTCTGCACTTGAATAATACTAGACAGGAAATACTACCACTAGATAGGAACCATGATAGAAAGACCAGCTCACACTCCCAAACTCAACCTTGCTACTGAGAATGGGGCCCACAGCAGACCTTCAAGAGGAAGTTCTTCCCACCAAGACGAAGCTACAAAGTGCTGGAGAGCATCTCCTACCGCCCACTCCCTCCCCTCATAGCTAGTTACATGTTGTGGGATTCGAGGCAGACAAGCCCCCTTGACAACCATGCCCTGATAGAATGATGGCTTCTACTCACATCGTCCTGGACATCGAGGTCGCAGCCAGCCTTCAGCAAGATCTGGACCACAGAAAGATGGCCCTTGTTGGCAGCAAGATGCAAGGGGGTCCGGCCATGCTGTTAATGCAGAGCAAACACTGATTTCAGAACAAGACGTCACGCACTCTTCCCCTGGGGGCGGGGAGCCTAGAGCAAGGTTTGCACAGTGGCACTCCCCGCCACCCCCCCACACCCCACCCCGTTCAGGTTGGCAGGAGATTCTTATGGATTCATCCGGAATTCAAGTTTGTCTTGGTTAACCTTGGCTATTGGCACTGTGATCAAGGAACAAAATATGCTCAAAATGTGGAGACTTCCCTTAGTGCATAATTTCCACTCCCCGCTCATCCAACCAGCAAGTAGGAAAGTGAGGGCTTTCAAGTTTTCTCTTATTTCCCCACTGGTTTGATAGTCAGGGATGGTGAAGTGGCCACAGTGAATCTGATGGGGTAAGAGATGGGAGAGCAGCAAAGAGTCAAGCTAATCAGCCCCGGAGAAGTCTAGTTAGTAATTCCTCAAAACTGAAACTGATGGACAAACCATTAGAACACATTCTCCCCTCTTTAGAAACAAATTTTTAAATTACAAAGTATTTCAGCCATTCAAAAATATGAACATTTTAAAATGTACACAACCACCAATCACTTTAAGAAAAAATTAGAGAAACCGTAGCCATTCCTCGTGAACCCCTCCCAGATCTCATTTCCCCTCAACCCCGAGGTAACCGCTCAATTTGGGATTCGTCATTCCTGTCCCTTTTATTACACTTTACTACGTTTGTAGCCACGCACAATAGATGAACATCGTTTTGCTTGTCTTCAAACCTTACATAAATGGTATTAAACTGTACAATGTCATTTGGCAATTTGGGGGGTCCAACATTATATTTTTGAGTTTTTAAAAAATATTGTCACATCATTCACTCATTCTCCCACTGATGGGTTCCAGGTTGTTCCCAGTGGCTAGCAGAACACACGTGAGTGCACGTCTCCTGTGCACCTGAGCGGGCTTCTCAGCCCTGCTGGTGGGTCATAGAGATGACCGTTCCCTGCAAGCGAGCTCCTGAGCTGTGACACTGAGGGTCGCACTCAGAATAATCCTCTTCGGTGTAAATCACTTTCCATCTAGAGAACTGACCTTGCCAAACGCCTAATTCTCCAACTTTTGAAGGAGCCATTATGTTGCCTTTGCTTTCTCCCTCAAGTTCACCATGAAGAAACGTTCCCACCCCAGCTCCAAACAGCATTTAGCCATGCACGGCCCCACCTGTGCTGAAACACTCCCAGGGGAATAAGGGTCTCACACGGCCTGAGCCCTTTCTCGCATCTTGGTAAAACTTCCCAAAGGCCTTTACTGATATTCTAGCAGGATAAACCCATTTATGATCTCGATCAAGCGCCAGTTTGCCGTGGGTAACTAGCCCCGCAGGAAAACAAGATAGCAGACAATAAGGGATCTTAACTTCAACCCGCGAAATGCAATCAAAGCATCAGAATGATTCTGGAAAGAAAGAGGTCAGAGCTCACTTTAAAATTAGAATTCTTAATTAAGAAAAAAGTTTGTCCTAAGAAAGTGGGCTATAAAAAGCCTTCATAAAAAGGCAACGTCTGAGATGAGATGAAAGCGTGACCTGCCTTGGCTGGCAACTGTGCTCAGCGCAGGCCGCTTAACCTTGACTCCTCCGACGAAACGTCCACAGCTGATGAGATGGAGCCAGAGAGCCTGGTTCCCGCCCCGCTGGGCCTGGCCCCGGGCTCCACCTGTCCTGCGTCCTCGTCCAGGTCATCGGATCAGTGACCTTCACAAGGCTTCTAGAGCATCCTGAAACAAGGGGAAGCCCACTGCATTTGTGAGGAGAAAGACGTGTGTGCTGTGAGGAGGGCTGACAGGATGGCGGGACACAAGAGCTTCTGAGCATCTGGAAAGTGCAGACCGTGCGGGCAGAAGCTGCCCCGAGAGAGGCTGGGAAGGAGGCCACAGGCCGAGGAGTAGCTGGTGCCACAGGTCAGGGGAACCCCAAGGAACATCCCTGTCAGCAACCAGATATTACAGTGTGGAAGCTGAGGCCCAAGGAGGCGAAAGGGTCTGCCCAAGTGAACACCAAAAAATCAGAAGATCCAGAGAAGGAAACACCGATGTGGTTCAAACCAGGTCACGTCTGGAGGGCACTTCAGAAACTATAGATTACTAACGAGGTGGCCCTGGACTGGAGGCAGCTTCCTCATCCAAGGTCAGCAGAGTCCCCTCTGTGGAGAAAAGAGAGGCCACAGGCACTGGAGCCCGACAAGCCCCATTCAAATCCCGGCTCTGACTAGTAACACCTGTGAGATTTTGTGCAGGACACTCTCCTAAGCCCCTTTCCTCATCTGTGAAATAGGAACGGTCTCCACTACCCACCCCGGAGGCTTCAAACAGGATAAGTGAGGTAACGCCCACCATCCATCACGGGTTTCCTTCCCTCCAACTGTCCCCAGCCTCACCCCTGAAGACACCCCAACCGCTGCCTCTCCTCCCTGACACCCCTGCACCATTGTCCCAGAGACAAGTGAGATGTTTTCAAGGGCACAGACCTGGGAGAAGACTTGGACCTCGGGTCACCTGAATAGCCAGGTGGGCCCTACGCTGCAGGGTTTTGAAATACAAGGTCCCACGTCTCCACGTCTCTCTGGAAGGGGCTTCTTTACTGAGAACACCCTTCTCCAGTTCTGCGAGAAGAAATGTTCCCGGCTGCCTTCTCCACACCCACAGCACTTCAGCTCCCCTCAGGGAACTACCCGTCCTGTTCTGAGGGCCCTTCCCACTAGGCCGTGATCTCCCCGAGTGCAGGACTGCACCTCAAACCAATCCCGGTGCTCCTCAACCACAGGGCAGGCCGGGCCTCCCAGGGTCACTGGAGCAAATTCCACAGTTCCACCCTTGACCAGAGACAAGGCGGGCCCGGCGGGCTGCAGCCTCCAGGTTCAGGGACGTCTCAACCCCTCAGAGGAGGTGTAGGCATCCTGGGGGCTTCACGAGCATCTGAGCAGCTGCAACAGTGACACAGGGGCTCCTCTAAGGAGGGTCAGTGTCCCCCTTGCACGTCTGGTTCCTTTTCTGGCATCTAGCAAGTAGCAAAGGCGGTAGTAACTGGTTTCCCACTGACCCTGAAGCTGTCCACTCCTGTCCCCTGGGCTCTCCTAGCACAACCACACACACACACACACACACACACACACACACACACACACCACCCCCCCAGAAATGTGCTTGGTTTTCCAGAACATTCTATAGTGAAAAGCAACGAAAGTAGAGCCATTCAGGGGAGTAGCTGCTCCCACCCAGCACACAGGGATACCCCAAGGTCATGCCTGACAAACGCAGAAGGCTGAAACCACCCTAAGTGTGAGGGGGCAAATAAAAACTGATCCTTAGAGGGGTCTTTGAATGACCTGAACTTAAGGGTACAACCGGTCTCAACCTCCATGCCCCTAGGAATGGCCAGTGGAAGACTTGGGAACAGGAGAAAAGACTGTGGACCATGAATGATAAGAGGAAGAAGTTTCTGAAGCACTGGTTTGTCCTAGGCCCTGCCTAATTCAAAGACTAGTTTAACCCAACTCAACCCAGGCCCTGGTGAGCCCAGCAAGACCAATAGCAACAAGGATGAGAGCAAGGGCCAGCAGCAGCTAACATTTATGGGACGCTTACGGCATGGTAGGCACATCTTAAGAGTTTTACATGTATTAGCTCATTCAATCCTCCCAACGACCCTAGGAGGTAGGCAGCATTATTAAGCCCATTTTACAGATGAGAAAACTGCAGCATAGAGAGACAGTCACTTGTTCAATGTCACGCAGCAGGTAACTCGAGTCTGGATTCACCCCTAAGCCATCTGACCGCAGCCCGCATGCTCTGGCCCACCACACTCCCTGCTAGCTGCTTCCTGTTGGGGGAGGCACTCCCCTGGCAGAGGGCTCCACTCTCAGGAAGCTCCCGCCGCTCCCAGATGATCACCCCTGAGGGTGCTTGCAAATTACCTGGTTTCCTCAGAATCTCCAGATGAGGAGAGAGGCTGTCCATTCTCACTGTACATCTGAATCGCCTGGGGAGGTTGGTCTGTGTGTCTGTCCACCCGTGCTGATGCCTGAGGCCTTCCTCCAGAGTTGCTGACTCAGTGCTCTGTGGGGCGCAGGCAGCGGGGGCGGGGCGGGGGGGGGGGTTATATATCCTCCCCATGTGATTCCGATGAGTGACCTGGGCTGAGGAGGGGCCGGAATAATCCTCCCCAGAGCAGCCACAGGCCCTCAGGTGAAACCTGCCCAGTGGGGACCGTTCCAGCAGGAGTCATTCCTCTCGGTACATTCCTCATGACTCTTTCGTCCCCAGCTGTCAGTACAAAACACTAAAAGACTACATCTCCTCAACCCAGAACTTTCTGTATCTTAAGAGAGTATATAAACAATACAATGACACTACTAAAAATTCGGAAGATGAAAGCAAATCATCTGTGATTCTCCCACCCCATACAAGGATTATCGTTTTTTACCCCATCCTTTCCACTGCATCTTTTCTATTGGTGCTTTTACAGTTACATTCACAGGTCACACGAAACTAGCTTGCTTGTGCATGAATAGTGGTCCTCAGACTTTATTGGGCAGCAGAGGCTTGTTAAAGACGGCTGTCTGGGCCCCCTCCAGGGTTTCCGATTTCGTAGGTCTGGAGGCTGGGAACTTGCGTTTCTGACGAGTTCCCAGGAGAAGCAGATGCTGCTAGCGTAGAACCACGTTTCGAGAGCCACTAACATAAACCACCGGTTTCCAATGCCGTCCCACATTAGAGTCACCTGAAAACATTTTTAAGCTCTCAAATTTCAACCCCAGATTCCATCAGCCTAGGGTGGGGTCTTGGAGTGGGTGTTTTTTAAGTTCCAGGTGATTCTAACGTGCAGCCGGAGGTTATGAATCCCTCGTTGTCATGCTTTAAATGTGCTGGTCCCTCCAACCTGCCCTGGGGTCAGGACGGGCCATGTGAGAACAGCGAGGGGAGAGAGGGTGCAGGACCCTGCAGAGAGCACATTTCCCTGATCCAACCAGGGAGAG